ATCACTGAACTGAATTTAGTACGGGGGCTCTTGGCTGAATCTCAGTGAGGTACAGTAATTATAATTCGAGTAAGCGAGGATTATTTGCCAAAATCAGCTTGCGCTTGGCGATGAAGCTACGGATGTAGTCTTTTATTGCACGCTCTATCGCGAAAGAAGTCACTGACATAGCGTAAAATGGAAACCACTGAAGAATAGTACAGGTATGGGAGTAGAACACTCCTCTGAATGGTTTTTCCTACCCATCCTATATCTTCTCTACGGGATTGCTGCCCCTTTGTAGAATAACTATGTTGGCCACCTTTCACCGAGGATAAATGAAGGTATGTGACAGCTGATGGCAGGTCTATGTACTACATGAGAACAGCCATCGGTACTACTTCACTACTACTGCCTCAAACCCTCAACTTTTCTTTTGCTAATATTTGTCCATGGGGCTATTTGGTGGCGCTGATTACGCATCACATTCATTTTGGTACACGAGTATTGATGACCGCGCGCCAGCTCCAAAAATTTTACTACAGATATCACATGGAGAGAGCTAATTCAATCTCATGCTGAGGACCTGCTCCAGCGGTCAGGGATGGGATAAGGGATGGGTGCAATGGAAATATGCGGAGAATTGGCAGTGGTTGCTCGCGTTAGGTTCGGCCACCGCTAAAGGCATGAGCATTCGTTTGTGGCGGTAGGCCTTAAGCGCTTATTTTCTGGCTCGCCCGCAGCGGGCCTCTTGCTGGTGAAATTGTTTACGCGCTACGCGCTAGAGCCAGGAAGTAAGGGAAGGTCTTAAAGATGAATGTGGGCTCGGGGAGTTGTTTTCGAGGGCAGCTCTTAGTCACAGTAGCGGCAGAATGATCCTAAAAAAGGAGAAGTCGTGGCGGCTAAAAGGTTCGCAGCATAAGAATCAAGTGTCTACATCGTAACGCAATGGGCACTATCATTCGGGCTTAAACAAGTTTATAGCTGAATGCAGGGCACCAGCAACCGAGGGGCCAACGGCGCTTCAAATGGCGAAGTCGTCGAGGAATTAGGCTTCAGGGCATCAAGAATAAGCCTCATAAATAAATTCAGCATTTTTTCTTGAAGTTTTGGAGCAGTAGTGGGGTAGTGGCCGCGCAGGCGGTGTAAGCGTAGGCGGTACTTGGTACTGTAACGCCCCCCCGCGGTACTCCACAACGCCGATGATCATAGTATGCGAATCGAGCGATACACTAGCGAATCACTGGATTCGCAAACGATGACATCGGCCTAGGAATGTGCGGCTTGTCTGCGCCTTTCTTTTCACGCATTTCGAGTGAATTCACTTCCTGACTGCCTACACTCCCTCTTGCCCACGGATTTTGTTTCGCGCTAATGTTGTCGCTACTTCGCTAAGAGAGCGCATATTTTTCACGCCTCGCCGGTTACTGCCGCCTTCGCTTTAGGCAAAGCGGGCCAGCAGCACCTGCGCTAGGGTTTCCCCAGGCGTTGCGGCAATAAACGCAATACTCTAGGAAGGAATATTGATAGTATTTTTAATTTATATGCGGATACTTTCAATTGCAGAGGTTGTATGCAGCATTACTCGATGGGATATGGCTCTCCAAAACTTCAGTTCTCTGAACTCATCCCCTTATTCATAGACGCACCCTCACCCAGGGTCTGCCCTATTGTTGTTTTTTTCGAAAATTTTTTTAGCGGACCCCACTCCCCCCACGTGGATTTGATAGCGACCCGCCCCCCGGGGGGGGGAGGGATCATATTCGTCACTCCTGAAATTTTTAAACTATTGTCGAAAATTTTTTGTTTTTGTGGGGGGGGGGGGGGGGGGGGGGGGGGGGGGGGGGGGGGGGGGGGGGGGGGGGGGGGGGGGGGGGGGGGGGGGGGGGGTATACGCGCCGCTGGAAAGGCAAATTTTTATCTGCGCCCTCCACTCGCCTAGCCTACTACCCACGAAATCTTAGTTTCACCTCAATCCCACACGTGATTTCGAGCGACTAAAGTGGGTACGACCCCCCCCCCCTCCAAGCTAACCAAGGTACGACCCCCCCGTTGGTACTTGTACCAACGTAGGGTTGACCCTGCTTCACCAGTTCTATCCCCGAGCGTAGCAGGCAGGGGACAAACGTTGATGGAGCGCCCCTTTTGCGGCTAGAAGTTTGCGCTACAAGGGCGCTAGAAGCTCGCTCAACACGCAATCCACTCTTTCGACCGCAAGCCCTGCCTTCCGCTGTCGGATGCCACGTGGCACTGCTTGAAAAACGCAGGCGCAGTTGCGGCAGCAGTCCCATTGCGGTTCAATGTGTCGCTGAAGCAGAGAACTAAGCTTGTGGAACTCGTCCAATACGCCCTTCTCTATCTCAAGGTGGAATGCGGCTGAAATGGTGTGGCTTCTGCGTAATCGGAGTTCTTGTTGCTTTCTTCCTCCTTTCCAGACCCCTCTACCTCATCATTATTGAACGGTCTTTCGCACCTATTTGATCCCGATGCTTGCCTCAAACCATAGGGAATGCGTCATCGACCGGTGTAGAGACGCAGTGTTTTGGGGGCCTTCCTTGGACGGTGGGTACCCGGCAAGAGGCTCGTCGCGCGGTGATAAAGCAGGAACGTGGATGAGTCAGTGGGCGAGTTTGCAGCACGTGCTTCAGCGATTTGGCGTCAAGTTAAATGATGTTAATAGAATGTATGATGGTACGACCCATATCGCTCAGTACGCGCTGCGACTCGTTCGCTGAAGCGTCTTCGTCTCTGCCTTCTCTCCTCGTGGAGCGCCCCCAGGCGGTACCCTCACCGACGGGTACTGCTGCATTATGTCGGCGCAAAATGGTGAAAAGAATTTTCGTTAGTTCCGCTTTTTTTCGCTTGAGGCGGCGCTGTGGCCCGCCTCGCCACGGACACGATTACCTCTCCACCGGCGATGGCTGCAAACTCATTCGCACCTCATCATTTTTCACGCGTCCACGCGTCAGGACTGTTATGCGGCGGTTGCGTCTGGTGTTACATTGTACATGATCGTATTGCGAAAATAATAACTTATTTCCCATCCTTACAAACATGGGTTTGAGATTCGGCGTTGCTATTGTTTCAGGACATTGAAATCGATGGTGTTAGAATTTGGCCTCACATTGTTGAAGTTGTGAAGCTAGCGCACAAACCTCATGCACGAGAGCTGTATAGGAAATGCACTGCTTTGTGAAGTTTTCCCTCTCCGGTACTTTCCTTGTCTAACGGTTCTGAAGTCATTATCACTTCCGTGAGATATACGGGATGTGGTTCACTTGGAACAGAAAGCGACTTTCTCGCGTTTTGCCACCGCGAAACTTTGTTCGCTGCGGAATCTCGGTCCACTGCAAATTCGCTGCGGGAACCCTTCGGTCCACTGATGACCAGCGGTGGACATGAGGTTCGCGCAACAAAACGTTTCACGCTGCGGAACGTAAAAATTCGCTTTCTGTCTCTGTGAGGCCACATCTCAGATATTATGTAAGAGGGTTGAATGTAATCTTCTGGTTAGAGTCGATCTCACGCCACGCAACTAATTCGTAAGCCTTGTAGGCGTTCCTCCTTCGTCGCTCGATAACCAGTGCTCCTTGATTAACAGGGGAACTATCCTACTTACTGCACCCACGTGGGTGCTCCCCAGATGCGTCGAAGAGTGAAGCTTTGCCACGAGCTCCAATTCAACACATCGCCTTCCTGCGTCAAACCCATCAATTTCTCCTGCCGAACAGCTTCAAGCATAGCCTCACTAAAAGTTTTTGAACCTCTCCCTTCCCTAATAAACGTATGTCACGGCGCCATTACGGACAACCTTTTTGACCAATGAGGACACATGAGGCCGTATCCAATCCTTCCTTCAGGATTGATGGGGAAAGCAAAAATCCCTTCAACTTTTCCTCGTCTTTCCAACCAGAGTCGCATCAAAGAAGGGGTTTAGTGTATGTGTGTGTAAAACATGTACTGAGAGTAAGGAAAATGATTCGCTGAAAACCGATGCATTAAAGAGATCTTCGTGCAATACAGGTGAGACGGGCACCCCAGTTTTTTGAATACTGTAGGCGCAAAATGCATCCTCCCTTTCATACCTCAAGAGCGTCGGGTGCAGACCATACACGCCAGGTGACGACAATCTTTAAGTAAGTTTGGTTATCAGTGGTTAGTAGTGGTAGCTCATTTTTGGTAAATGATAGCTGTAATTAGTGACAGAGTACATTTGCAACAGGCTAATCATTTCATTGGCAGAGTAGATTTACATTTTGTGGAGGCCCTCGTAATTTGTGGTGTGGTGTGGTGTGGTCTGCACCCGACGCTCTTCTTGTATTTCGAAAGAGAGGATATGTGCTTGGGGTCTAGTGCCCGGAGTAAGGGGGACTGTAGCCATTGTGGGGGGTGGGGGTGACGGCAGTTGACATTGACATGCGTGAAAAGCTGGAATGTCTGAGTTTACTTCACGTCTCTGATCTCGAGTTTCCCGAACACATTGACGCTGCTGTTCGTAAAGCACTTGGAACAGTTTTCTTCTTCTTCCGAAACATCACAGCAGTGACAAAAATATTTTCTTAAGACTTTATAAAATGTATGTAATCCCCCAATTAGAGTATTGTTGTCAATTATGGAGTCCCTATACCAAAAAACTACAAAACAAAGTAGAAAAAGTACAAAAAACGTTCACAAAGATTCTCATGTATAGGTGTAATCCAGATCCTAATTATCCCCGTACGTTACCTAACTACAGGACAAGACTTGAATTATTCGGACTGAAAACTCTTCTATACCGTAGAGTTATGCATGATGTCATATTTTGCTTTAAGATACTGCGTATGGAAATCAAACTCAAAGCTAGTAAATATTGGGTTTTCAGACCTAGTCATGGGCGTTTATCCAGTTTTATATTAGACTATGCCCCAATAAAAAGACCTTTTTGCTCAAAAATTCACAACTCATTTTTCTATCGTGGTGCCCGATGGATCCAAATGTTGCCCACCGATATACTTTGCTCTCCAAACTCAAACATTTTCCGAATGAAATTGAAAAAGATCAACCTATTGTCAACACTAAACATTGAAGATTTAGGTTAGTCTCTTTCTATTTCTGCATTTTTTTACCCATGGATCTTTGTGAAGAAGCGAACTGCTACCAGCCAGCATGCGATAATTTCGACAAGTTCAGAAGAGCTATTAAGAAGACTGACGTTCTCTTCGTGTTATTGGTCTTCCTGATATTATTTGAAAGTGTAAAATTCGCTCTAGCTAGCAGTTTCACTGTATATTATTCAACGATTATGTTAGCGTTGTGAGCAAAAGGATTGCAGTCTCTCAGTAATCTTCAAATCAACTTTATACCATTCAATGGTAATGAAATATAATAGTGAAATATCTAAAGGGTTGTGTCATACACTAGCTGTTGATCCAACTTGATTAAAATTTACCGATTCATTTAAAGCCTATTAGCCAATCCCAAAATGAGCCCAAGTTATGGCATCGCATGGTTAGCTATCCTCACAAGCGCCCCCGAGCCAGCTCCTAGGGTTCGTATTTAGATCAAAGAGGTGTTTCTGCACCGCCCTTGTAGGGCTGCGGCCTCGTAGTAGGGTTATCTTTGAGGCACTAACCTTATGGCTCATGGCAATGCTCTTTGTTACTTCCATGTCTGTACATAAATCCAACTGATCAACCTAGTGTGTGACCCAGAGTTCAAACAATACTCAAGGGATCTTTTGAACATGCCCCTCTCTCGTTTTTGTCTCTCACAAATTGGTTAAGTCAGTCGTTAACATATCATTAATTGCTGTAACACAACTGAGGACGACTGCTGCCCTTTTCGCGACTGATAGTATTTCTATTTGAATATACTCCGTATACCTTATGAGCGCGTCCACTGGACGTATGAAAATAAATAAATAAATAAATAATAAGTCAGAGTGACGGGCGAGGCAAGCCGTTTAGACAGAGCGAGCACCTGAAGTAAGGCGTGAATTACGTCACTCCTGCCGCAATCGCATACATTGCGCGTCGCACCGACGCGATCTCCGCAATGACAATCCCATAGGTTATGACGCGATTTCTGGCAATGAGCAATCGCCGCGTGAGCGGCTGGACGCTGCGCGCGCTTCGCGCGCATGCTAGGGGAGGTTATCCCTGGGTGCCGCGCTAGACTAGGCGCGAGGCCACTCCGGCGTGCGTGCCATCCTCTACCTCCTACATGAATGGCGCTCAGTATAGTGGGCGGATTGGCTCGACATATTCTCTCTCTTTGAGAGAGCGCAGAGAAAACGAATAGTGAGAGGCGAGCACGCACTTCTGCGCGTCAATGCGTCGCGCATTGTACGTGACTACAGCAGAACATTATAATTCACGCTTTACTTCAGGTGCTCGCTCTGTCTACACGGCTTAAGTCGTAACGGGCGAAAGTCCCCACTTACACACATCCCGGGCCTACCGTATTCAGAAATTGCGCTGTGCCCATCCCCCTTGTATTGCACCGAGATCATCGCTCCCCCTAGCGTGGGGGAAGGATTGGATACGGCCCATGAAGTCCATAAATTGTCACAAGGGATCCGCAGCCAAAGACAGCAGTTAACAATCAAAAACAGATTTAGGTGATGTCCCATTCTCAAACGATCGTGTCATGACTCGTCATGATGTTTTTTCCATGTGCTCCGCCCCGCGCCTCTACGGGTATTTAAGCAGCCACAGAGGCGGTGACGGGGTTCTCGTGTAGCTCTGCGCCAGCGTTAGTCCAGAGCGGCGGAAGCCGCCTGTCCTGTTCTTATCTACATCCCTTGTGCTGAGACTCCCCGGGCGTGGAGAACTGTAGCGGCGAAGGCAGTAATGCCGGCGCACGAGGAGGACTAGCGCTCACCCACTACGAGCGGGAGACCCGCTTGGGAGAGGTAAGGGTGAAGTCGGTCAAGCTTGATGTCAAGGAAAGGGCAAATCAAGTTTATCGAATGTTAATCTGCAGACAGTCTAGGAAAGTGTGATGCTCTATGACTGTAGTAGAGAATAAAGTGTCTTTCATGAAGTGTGCTTTGGTCAAAAGAGAAACTGTTGAACCACCATTACTTTAACATCTGAGGAGTGATGCCCTCAGAATAGTATGGTGATGTTTCACGCATGTATAGAAATATATAACACATCTCATTTAGATTGGTGGCGTTGACCTAATAAACTTTATGTGTAGATCAAATAACAGCCTTTGGCCGAAATTCAGGCTCGTTTTCCATTACATATCAATTTCAATCCTCATTCTCCTCGTGGCCTTCATGCCGGAGGTAATGCGCTCCGTGGCTAGGCACAAAAAGGGACGGCGCAAGTCATATCCACAGATAAAGCTACCACTGCTCTTTTTAATGGTAACTACGTTCTGCGCTTACGACCCTTCTACCCTTTTATCGAGTGAAATGCGACTCACCTCGTCGTGGATGCCGCACTTGGCGTGACGCGGACGCAAAATTTGTGGTCGCTCGCCTGTTTGTCATCAATATCGTAATAACTTCGTATAGCAGCGGAGCTGTCAATTACGCCATCGCTCTAGTAGTGCTTCTACTGTCCCTTGCCACGTGGTAGTTGTTTAGGGTGAGGAAGATGGGTCGGTCGTGCATAGCGCATCATGAGCGTGTCCTCCCAGTGCACTAGGCCTCTGATGTGTATGAGAAATTGCCCATACCCACCCGCTTTTCAGCTCTGGAGAAAAAGCTTATATGACAAACGGTGCTGCTCTTAGATTTCGGTAGTAAGGGACCTTGCCTGTTGGTTGACAAGAGATTCAGTTGCATGTTGTCTTTTTTAGGGTCCTCAAAGAGAAACGCCAACGTTCTCGACAGTGTTGTTTCTCGTCGTATCGCAGCACAGTTTAAATGCCATGGGGTTACAGCCTCACGACTCACTAATTACGCTAGACGCGTAAAGCGTAGGCTACGTTCCTCTCACAGCAGTGAAAGCGTAGCAATAGTTGATCTGGTGAGTTGCGGCAGATTTTTCATTATCATGAGCAAATGTTTTAATTTCCATGTACGAATGGGCGGTGGAGGGGACGGGGCTAAAGCGATGTGGGGCATAATTCGTATGTCCCATACATTTAATTTATTTATTTTCGTCGTCTAAACGGCATGACGGTCTAAAATGGGCGTAGCAAACTAACTAAACAAAGCCGGAAAAAGAAGGAGGGTAGAAAAAATGCAAAAGGAAATGGAACAAAACAAGAGATCAGCTCAGAATAGGCGTTGGATATTATTGGAATAGGTCTAAACCCAGAAACATGCTAGCAAAAGCGGTTAGCTAATGATAACAGAATCGCTAGTCACTTATTACATGAAAGGCACCATGAGCAGGAGACAGTCTCTGATTAGCGGGAATCAGTCCGTGAAAGTCGAAAAGTCGAGAAATAAAATGCTTAGATAACATCTAGTGTAGTTTAGAGATAGACAAGCTTCCCTCGAAAAGCAGCACTGTGACCCTCCAACAAGTACCTGCATCAGCCGGCTGTGATGTCCTTCGCCACTACGGGGTCATAGGGACTTGCCGAAGCTCCGACACACGGGTATATCGGCCGCCTATATTTATAGTAATCCCGCTTTTTGCATTGGAAGGAAGCTCCATGGATGTGACTGCGTGAACGAAGTGGTTCATGCACAGGAGCTACGTATCAGGCGACGCAATGAGAGAATCGGGTTAAAGCGCGCGATTTCGGAGAGTGGAGACAAATCGATCGATGGAATAGGATGGAGTAGAAGTGTAAGATGTGAATGCAACGAAGCAGAAGGCCAGAAAGAGCTTCTAGTGAATGCACTCCAAGAACCAAGTTTGAGCATCCCCGTCGCCAGCATTCGTGAAAGACGTCCGTGGGCAATTCGAACGCGTAGCAGCCTTTTCGAGTTTTCGAATTTCTAATCAAAACGAAAGCAATACTTCAGTTCTTTTCACTATTATCGTGGATAATGAGTCTCAAGCCAGTGATTTATGGCTGAAATAGAATCATGATTTTTCCGCGCAAGATTCCTTTAACTCATCATTATGGTGAAAATTTTTGAGCTTCGCGGTGAAATATGTATTTGTGGACACTTACTTGACCACCAGCTGTCTGGACAGTACCTCAACTCCAGCTCGTAGAAGTAAATACGCTATACTACTCCTTAGAAATCTTTGAGTAAACATTCAGAAAACTCAAAGGTCCGAATTATATCGAAATTTGATACCATAATAGGATAGAGAATAAGATGGGGTTGTCAGTGGTATCTAACAGTTTAGTAAAAGTACGAACCTCAGAACCTACATTGCTCCAAGGGCAACCTAATAGTTTGTAATATGTTCAATAGGTAGTAGAGGACCCAATTGCGGAAAATCCATAAACAGTGCATGTATCTAACAAGGGAAGGATCTCAGGTCGAAGTTGCCATCTGTGATGAGACCTATACTGACAGACGTTGTTTCGGATGTTTGATCCTCCAACCAGGGTCAACCCTATCGTTGTTACTCTTCGGAAATTTTTTACGACCCCCCCTTCAGGGGTGGTTTGATACGACCCCCCCCCCTTTGTATGTAACACTTGTGTAGAGACAGTGTTTACCATCAATATTTTATTTCTACGTAAGTCATTAAAGATGAAACTTTAGCAAAATCCACGACAGAAATTCATCGCTGCTTGCAAACACGAAAAAATGAGATGCATTCAAAGATATCCGTGTACTCCAAAGGGTTACCAAACTAGGAGATGAAATAAGCTGAACCAGTGACCGTAATATTGACAACATTACCTGATAAAAACTTATGAGAAGTCAGAAAAAATTATCGCTCCAATTGAAATACTGAAATCCTTCACGTTCTTCAATTGCAACACAATTTTTACACCCCTCTTTCTAAGGCTATAACTTCCTTCATATTCGAGCTTCTGCGCCGAAGTGATTTGATTTGGAAAATTCAAATTATTCTCTCTCCAACCATGGGTAAAAATTCTTCGAAAGTTAATTTAATAAAAATTTAGTACGTTGTTACTTTTTTCTGTGCAAAGCGACTTTTTGACCTTCAAACGATCATAACTTCCTTCAAAGTCATTCATTTGGGAAGCTGAACACGTATAATAAACTACAGGATTCAAGCTTTCTAACGAGCACCCAAGCGTTCCTGAAAGATCAGCAGTTCAAAAATTAGCCCCGTTGTTACTTTTTATTTTGAGGGGTATTCTTCAAGCCATTTTCTCGAAAACGCGAGTTTTCTTAGGTTTCACTGCCCGTAACTTCTTGGAAGACCAATTTTATGTTTAATTAAGGATGTGCTAGAAAGCTCCGAGCATGCGCTTGCACTACATCCCTTGCCTTGGTGCGCGCCACGCCTCGGGCGCCCTTCTAATTCGCTGATTCATTTGAAAGCTCATTTAGAGGGAATCGTGGTTTATAGATGCTGTATCAGTCATCTTACGAAAACGTAACGTGCTGGCTATTATCCGATATTACCAAGAATCCCACTGTCGGCCACCGAGAGGGTACGACCCCCCTCCCTCCAAGCTCAACTGAGTACGACCCCCCCGTTGTTACTCGTAACAACGTAGGGTTGACCCTGCTCGAACCCGCCTTTCAAATTTGTGGAACGATTTCTTGAACAGAGGTACAAAGGTAGTCTCAAATGAAATTCTTCATAAGACACCTGCAGGCAGAGCCTGCAAGCAGCGGTTTGGACGAAGGGTAATGATGTGGGATAACACTGGTGAGAACACAGCTGGGATCATGAGCTTGAAATTTTTGCTCTCGATAATCATGTTTGTTTTTAGTATAAAACTTTCAGCTTGGAATTTACACAGTGTGCAATGCTTTCGAGTGCTAGGAGGGGTTTGCTTCAAGCATCAACTATTTTCGTCATGTTTCCGATCAGTTATTTCATAAGTGGGGGAAAGAGGGGGGGGGTTATTTCTACATCACGGAATGAAAGTGAAAGTTATTTCCGATGATGGGCTACCAAGCTATTTCTGAAGGCTAACGTTTAGATAATGACATTTGGGCCTATGTTCTGAAAAGTTGGCCGATAATCAGTCGTTGGTGTTAACCCCTAGCCAGTAACCGTAACGTTGTACCTGAAGCTCACCTGCGGCGCGGACGCGTGTGCGCGTTTGTGACGTCCTAGCGACGGCGAAGAACGAGCAAGGACTAGCTCTTTCACTAATACTTAAAGCTACGAGTCAGGATTAGATCCCGAGAGCCAGTCCCTTCTAGAGTGAAG